AGGGGGAGACCTGCCCGGATACTTTTCACGTGAACCACAGTCCGTCCCTTGAGCTTGGAAAACTCAAAAAGGGACGTGACGTGAGGTGTGTAATGTATTCAATAAGCTGCCATTGAATGCATAATGTGTGATGAAAACATCTAATTGAAATGTCATGTTAAGCTTCGTCCTGGGCTAGGATCCAAATACATCCAATCACATTGCTAGCCCAGAAAGCACCTAACCAGTCACTTCTCAGCAAGCTCCCTGAGCGGGAATGTCCGTGATTGGTCCTTATGTATGCAACCTTATTGCATAAATGTACAGTAGGCATGGCTACATTAGCCTGGAGAGTTTAAAAGCAGGACAGCTGCAATGTAAAAGCTGTTCTGGCTATCAGGTGTTGATCCGTGTTGGAGTTGTGTTCGAGTTGTTGAATAAAGCTGAATCTTTGCTGAATCACTCTCCGACTACTTGTTAAGCAAACGACTTAACAAGGTGTGAGCCTTTCCTGGACACCACCCTCGACCAGCCAGCTTCCTCTGAAGACAGAGACCCGCAGGACGTCTCACAGCTTGCTACCCTGGCGGCTCAGCCAGGTCTGAAGGAAAACGGCAGTTTAACTGTCTTTTGGGCTCTCACTCCCACCTCCCACCTGCTCTCCCAATCTTCCGAAGGCCCCGATTGGCTGCGACCTGCCCCATGAATATTCCAACTAGGTTTAAAGGCGACTGGTCTTTTCCAGGAAATGGGCAGGACCTTTTGTCCGTCACACAGGCCTGTATTAGCCCCACCTCTGTACGACTCCTACCCCAGAGACCAATCTATATATCTAATTCCCAACTTGCCCCCGGAGTGCAGATCGCTAAATCAGCGCTCCGGGAGCAGCTGGGGGGCTGGGGGAGGTTTGTGCACTCTTGGGGCAGTCCCCAGTGGTGCACAAAAATGTAAAAACTAAAAAAATATATCGGGGGGATGTTTAAATCCCCCCGAAAATGAAAGAGCGCTCTGTGCGCCTGCGCACAGAACGCTCTGTAGCTGACCTCGCCGCCGCCGCCTCGGAGGCGGGCGGGTAGACGGGCGGGCGGCCTCGCCGCTGCTGCCTCGGAGCCGGCCGGGGGTGGGAAGACCGGCCTCACCGCTGCCCCCGGCGCCTCCGCCTCTTGGAAATCGAGCAGGGGGGATGG